CTCTTTCTCATCTTTCTCTTTTTATTCTTACGTTATATTCGTTTTAATGAAATTAATATCAATTAATAACAATTTGGTTTCAGTTTTTTTCATTATAAAAATATATAATAATCCTTACGATCAGAAGACAAAAAGAAAATGTGTTTAATATAGTATTATTATTTGTTTATTATTTTTTCTTTGTAATAACAGGAAGATCATTTGGATTACAATTTCAATTTATCAATTTCAATAATCAAGATCCATTAATGATTTCAAAAAAGAACCATTTTCATAATCTATTAAGACCCATATTCCAATGATCAATAGAAAACAAAACGATCGTATCAATGAAATATTAATTTGTTATTTGAAAATAACACATCATATATATACGAATGCGATGTGTTTACATGCATCGAAATCACTCACTCAACAACTTCTCTAATAATTGTCAATTTTCACGAAGAAACACGCGACATACATATACACGTGCAATTATACTAATACAAAAAGGGAAACAGGAATGTTATTTGTAATAAAATCTTTGAATTGGTGAATTCGAGAAGTCGAGAAATTCTACAGGGTTGAATACTCCCATTCGTATTCGTACGAGCACGAAATTCTCGTGAGTTTCTTTTTCCGAGGGGTTGAAAGAAGCTACCGGGAACATGATATGTTGTCCGTAAGATTTACATCACTTTCTTACGATTTTCGGGAGGGGCTCGGATAAAAAAAAAAAAAAGAAAGAAAGAAAATCGAACCTACCCTATCCTCACTCTGCTTGATTTACGATCTCTTGTCGTCCAATATAATGTCTACATCTATATACATATTGATACTATACCCATATATGCTTTTATATATTACAATACTTCATCTATATTTCATATTTGCATATAGATTCGTTTAATCAGTCTTTATCTTCCGTCAAATATTGTCTAAATTTTCTTCTAACTATCTTCATTCTTTTTTTTCTTTTTCTTTTTCTTTTTTTTTACCTGACCTCTTGTAAAATTGTTATGTTATCTATGTATTATACATACGTGTATCATTTTTGTATTTTATTTGAAATAATATACGAATCAAATTTATAATAATTTTTGAATTCTAGTCGAATTTCATCATTTCGAGTAAATATGTATCTTAACGAATTTCCATTGATATGTGTGTGCGTATAGCAATAGAATTTTCGTGTGTATTTGAAAATCGATCGATCGGAAATAAGGTATTAAGACTAATTAACGATAATCCAATCCATCCTTTTACGCCATTGGTCGAAAAATACGTAGCAGAAACACGCGCATACACATATACATAGCATTACATACACGCGCGCGTGTTAAAGAAATTTATCTCGCCAAATATTTTGAAATTAACTCGAAAAAGAGATAAGAAAGGTGGTATGAGTGTCCTCTTAAAAAAAAAAAAAAAAAATAATAATAAAACATCGACGATTTCGCGTATAACTTTATCTTAACTCAAGTTTTATCTTTTTAATTACTTGGAAATCGATAACGAAGTATTATACTTGAAAGAGAAAAAAAAAGAACGTAAAGTTGAAAAAAATGTCCAAACATAAAAGAAAAAAAAAGTCAAATTAAACGAAAGGAAAGATTTTTTTTGGTGTTTATTATTTATTTCAGGTGAAGATCTGGTTCCAAAATCGACGAATGAAATGGAAAAGAAGTAAGAAAGCACAACAAGAGGCACGTGCAAGTGGAAAACTCGAGGATACCGGTAATACGAAAAATTCCGAAAGAGATAATGCCGGAAGTGACGTATCGGTGACAGCACCGTGCACACCTGAAGAACCTAGAGGAACTTTGCAAGAAACTCAGAGAACTTCGACGGAACTTCAGGAACCACTTTATCGTCCTTACGTCGTTTAAATTTCATTCGTTTTCCTCTTTTGAAAAAAAAAAAAGAAACAAACAGATTTTATTTCTTTAATATGCACTTAATATGAGATATAAGTGTTACGCTCATTTATTTTAAATATTTTATTTCCTGTAAGTATTTGTTTTTTTTTTCTATTTTAACACGCGAATAATAATAATTTCATATTTTACCGATACGATTTACTGTGAAAAGAAAATCCATTATTAATTAAAGAGAAATGAGGAGAATTTTTTACGATGATGAAATATTATGAACGATAAAAATGTTGTCTCGTGTAAATATATTATTCTACGATTTCTATTACTGTCGAAGGAAAGAGAGAGAGAGAGAGAGAGAGAGAGAGAGAGAGAGAGAAAGAGTGATCAAGATAAAGATAAAAATAAAACAGAATTAAAATAAAATAAAATAAAATGTCGATGTGTAAATATCAAGAAAAAAGGTGGTATGTAAGAAACAAATGAAATAAATGATTCGAATGTTTCATCGAGAACTCCCCTTTAATGGGGAAATAATAAATGAATAATTTAAACGGTGTAAAGCGAATTAACTCTCAATACTCCAATTAATTTCAGAGATTTTAATTCGCTATGAGAGAAAAAAAAATATTAAACAAAAAACATTATTCGAATTAATATACGCGAATTGAAAAAAAAATTCATTTCCGAGATAATAAGATCGTTTTGAAAAAAAAAAAAGAACAAAAAGAATTAATAAACAACACCATTCAAGAATAAGCGTTAATTCGCGAACATAGTAGATATCATTCTGTAAATATAAAAAAAAAAAAAAAAAAGAATTTAAAGGAAACAATATTGTTTTAGAGATTATTTATTATTGTGTGTTCGTTCGGCTTGTAAGATAGACATTATCTACGAAATTGTTAACGGAATGATGATTGTCGATGTAAGATGTGTAAAGTAATAAAATGAGAGAGAGAGAGAGAGAGAGAGTGAGTGAGTGAGTGAGTGACAGAATGAGTGTGTTGAAAGAAAGAGAAAGAAAGTGGTAGATGATATGTATGTAGGGCACATATACGAAGGATTACATTTATCCGAGTATAAACTTTATTTCAATAATATCCCCCCTCGCCCCCTCTTTCCCCCCCCCCMCCACCGCCACATATATATTATAAAATGAAATAAACAAAATCGAAAAAAAAAAAGAGAAAAAAAAAGAAAAAAAAATGGAATAAAAATAAATATAAATAAAAAAAAGTATAAACGAAAGGTTGCGCGCATGTATTTATGATATACGACGTGTGAGTGTAAATATTAATCGTTTATCGTATAAAAAATAGAAAATGCGAGAAATGCCAGAATATCCGATGTAATATCGCGTGAAGTTCCTAAATAAAATATTATGAAAATTACACGGGATATAAAAGCGTCATTAAAAAAAAACAAAAAAAGAAAAAAAGTATAAGAAAATTAATCCAAGTCGAATTAATTAAATATATATATATGATTTAAATGCATTATTTCAATATATATATATATATATATATCCTTTTAGTTATTTATTATTTCGTTTGAAAATAGGTAACAATTTTTACGTAACAACGGTGCATGCTTATCAGACTTACATAAACCAACACATGATTATAGTTTTTTTTTAATTCTTTAATTAAATTTCGTATCGAATTGTATAACTTTTTATATCATTGATTTTGATATATTATTTATGAGAATATTTTTGGTTCTACATCCGAAGATGGAGAACCATGTGTACTAAACATAAACAATATTGCATACTTACAGGCGCACGATGAAATAACACGTATCGAATTGCATAACTTTTTATAGCATTGATTTTGATATATTATTTATGAGAATATTTTTGGTTCTACATCCGAAGATGAAGAACCATGTGTACTAAACAATATTGCATACCTACAGGCGCACGATGAAATAACACGTATCGAATTGCATAACTTTTTATAGCATTGATTTTGATATATTATTTATGAATATTTTTAGTTCTATGTCCGAAGATGGGGAACCATGTATACTAAACAATATTGCATACCTACAGGCGCACGATGAAATAACACGTATCGAATTGCATAACTTTCTATAGCATTGATTTTGATATATTATTTTTGAATATTTTTGGTTCTACGTTCAAAGATGGGGAACCATGTATACTAAACAATATTGCATACCTACTAGGCGCACGATGAAATAACACGATTTTCATTTTATTTAAATTACTTTAGATATCGATTAAATATTGTATATCAATTTTATTTCCAGCAAAGTGTAAGATAATCAATAATCGTGGTATATCGTTTTATAAATGAAATTATTAGTATTTCTTGTTGAAAAACATAAGCAAATTTCTTCGAGAAGAAGCAGTGATTTCGCGAAAAGCCGGTACATATATGGAATTGCTGAAAAGTTGTATAATGAAAGAAAAAGAATGAGAGAGATAAACTCGATGGAAATAGACAAAGAGAGAGAAAGAGAGAGAAAGAGAGAGAGAGAGAGAGAGAGAGATGGAGGCGAACATGAGAGTCTCGCGAGACCCGCCCCCTCCATCAGAATTTATGACATGCTAATTCCCAGTTACGAATTCCGCGACATTCCGCGGATGGCTGGATGGATGACGCGTTCACCGAGCGGTAAAATCCACTCATTCGGAAAACGTCAACGAACGAGAACGAAGGAATAGAAGGAAAAGTCATATTTGACGAACGCCTAGCTCGATGTCATAGTCATACCACGTTTGTGTGTGTGTGTGTGTGTGTGTGTTTCACTATTCACCACGATAAAGAGATAAATAGAACGGATAGATATTTATTTGATATATTTTATGAAATAAACCTATCGAAAATATTGACCGAGTAAAAATAGGAGAAAAGATTTTAAGAGAATTGGGAGAAACGATTTGTACGATAGTACAAAAGAAGATTGGCCGTTATGTTAATTTAAGAAATCGTTAAAGTACAGGGATAAAACTACGCTGTCGTTCGGCCATTTTCTTTTTCCAGCACGTAAACGTGGATATGGCCGAGTGCCAAGACTCGTTTTAGAAATCGTCCTACCTAAATACTACTGCCAGGCAATCCTGAATTTTTCCTTGCAAATAATCACGCCAAGTAAAACGCTCCAACTGTTCGCCGCACGGATTTAACAATGCTTCGATTCACTACAATTCCCTTTTTTTTATTTCTTTCTTTCTTTCTTTATTTCTTTCTTTCTTGTCTTCCTGATCACTTTTACGACGATTTCGTTATTCGTGATTTGACAAAATTATCCTTTTTCTTATTGAAAACTAAAAAATCGATCTTTATTTTTTCCACGACACGGATTTCAAATATTCGATCGGCTAATAAGTAATATCGTTATTTGTTATAACACTTTGTAGGAAACCGTGTTACAGATTACTTGTATTTTCTATTTAAATAAACAATATTAAGTTCCAGTTAAGATTAACTAAAAAGACAAGAGTCACAATATCGCATCTTTGATACGATTCTTATAACAAGAAGAAGCGAGAAAAAAGAAGGAAGACGAAATGAAATAAAGAAAGAAAGAAAGAAAGGAAGAAAAAGAGAATGAGAAGCTAAACGTAGAGACGAAGAAGCACGGAGGTGGAACACTCATGTTTATATGCATTGTATTGCTAAAACCCTTTTAACCGAATTACATTTAGCGATTCTAGTGCCGCTTCCGTGTCTGCGTTATACCCCTTAACTCTATCTCTCTTTTTCTCTCTGCCTAACGCGATCGTTTCCCATCCCCCTCCTTCGTTTTCTCCTCATCCTTTCCCCCATCCCTCCCCCCCATCCTTCCTCAGCTTTTCCACTCCTTCTCGCTTACCAGGAAGGCAAGCAAGCAAGCAAGCAAGCAAGCAAGCAAGCAGCAGGGCTGTTGGAGATCTCATAATGGTGTTGGTGTTGGTGGTAGTGGTGGTGATGGTGGTGGAAGAAGGATAGGAGAGGTTAGGGGAGGAAGGGCTGGGGTAGAAAAGCGATGGGGGTTGGGGTATTCCGAGGACGTGGAACGGCATCTCTGAATTCCTGATTCTCTTGGTAAACAAGTGCTTGGGTGATTCACTGCTTGTTCACTCCTATCGGCCGTCGTTTGTTTCTAGACGCCATTGCGTTCTACGATTCTACCTCGTTTTCCGGTCTAATGGATTTTCGGATGCTCTAACGTAGCAAGCAGCATCTCTCACGCAAACCTGGGAAAGAACTTTCTTCCTTTTCTCTATTTCTACGTATAACTGTCTTTCTTGTATAAATACAAGGTGCCCCATTATTCCGCAAAATTTCACAGTACAACACCTAACATTATAACTCTTATGGGATAACTTGTACAAAGTATTCAAATCCTTTATTATGTTAGATTATTTCTACAAAAAATATATTTCTATACGGAGAATAAGAAAAGAACATATAACTCTAATCTTAAATAAATAAATAAATAAAAAAAAGAGAAGTTAGCGAAGTTAGAAAAGTGAGCGAAACATTGTACAACGGCCTTGGCTTTTGACTCGGGCACATTTCGCGGCAGAGTTCGTCATTAGCGCTAACAAGATTAGCCTGGGGCTGATGGGCTGAGAGGAGGATGATGTTTGGCACCCTCCTCTTCTTATCCACCTAAAATATACGTGCACGTGAATTCTCTCTTTCTCTTTCGTACACACATACACACACATTCTATATATAGCAAAGCTAGTATGGCCATAGTCTGGTCCTTCTTAGAACAAGTGGGGATAATAAGATCTACGACAATCAACTTCAACGACGAAGCTAGAGGGACCAAGAATGAGAGAGGGTGAGGGATAGGGGGAACAAGGGGGGAGGAGGGAGAATGGACCAAGGAAATTTTCAACGAGCTTCTCGACGAGCTTCTCGACGAGCTTTCAGGCGACGTTCGTCACGTTACGTCCACCTCTTAGTATCCCCCCTTCCTACTTCCTCCTTCATTCGACCATCACACGTTTTACTAGTCCTCTAAGAAAGAAAAAGAGAGAGAGAGAGAGAGAGAACTTTGCTTTTCTATACGTTACAAATTTTTCTCTAACACCTCTTATCCATTTGTTTAATATTTCTCCAACATTTTCTAGTGAAATATTTTCTGTTAAATAAATGATGACGAGTTAATATAAATATAATAATAATAAGGGTAGTAGTGTTGCATTAATGTCTTAATCAAGGGTTACTTATCGATATTTTTATTTTAACTCAGAATAGTTATATGATCGATCACCGTAGGACATCATCGTTAACAGAAAATTTGAGTGGTGCCAATGTTAATACTTCGAATCATGCCAAAAATCTGATTCCCCGGTCACCTTGATACTCCATTTTAATATATATATATATATATGTAAGAAACGTATAGCAACGATTTTCTGTTGATATCTGAAATCTTAATGGAAGTGATATTTATGGTTTCTCATCGCCTAATGGATAGACATCGTCGATTCGGAAGACAAATCGGAAAAAGTATACTCGAAGTGTAGTAACAAGGGGTAGAAAGAAAAAAAGAATAAAGAATAAAAAGAAATAGGTTGAACTCGTCGTCGGAGTATCTTCAACTATATCACGTTCCCTTATTTCGCGTCGTGATACACCGATAAGCACGGTGGTAACTAGCTAAGAGAACGTAAGTGGGTGGGTGGATATATCGTGTTGGTCGAGTTGATTGTGTGTACAAGTGCGAAGAAAGGGAAAAGGAGGAGAAACAGGTGGGGTAGGCCAGAGGAAAGGGAAGTGATGGGGGTAGAAATAAAGAGGGAGGTGCCGCAGAAGGAAAGGAGGGGGCCCATAGCATTCGTAGACGGGCCAAGAGACGTGAGTGGCTTTGGGGTGGTGTAAAAGGGGGTTGCAGAGAGACTGGAAGGAGCTTAACCGCATCGTAATCAACGTAAAATGGCGTCGAGAAACAGAGAACGGAGAACGGTGGAGCCTCCTGAGGTCGTGCAGCCATTGTTGATCACCCTCACCTCTTACTATAATACGTGCTCCGTGCTGCTGCTGCTGCTGCTCTTTCCTCTCAGGGATGCATTTTCCTACTAATGGTTAAAAAGATCAAATTTTGTATTCTTCTGTTAGGGTGAAACAAAAGTTCGTGGGTTTATTGTGTTATTAATTGTGTTATAATACTGCGTAATGGATTATTTTTTTGTGCGTAAAATCTACTTTGTAAATGTTAATAATAACCAATCAGTTGTTTCTCTCGTCCAAAAATAAAATTCTTAATAAGAAGGTATCATAGGGAATTTGGACATCAAAAAAAGAAGTAGTACGACAGATATCATTCCCTATGATACCTTCTTGTTAATAATAACTATTATATGTAATTAGCACAATCGTTAAAATCGATAAAAAGAAGATAGTACGTCCTGGTAAATGCAAGTTCGAAACAAAATTGAATTCAACCCTGTACGTAAAGTACTTACGATACTCTTGAGAAGTCGTAATAAATTACGCACAAGTGGAGCTCAGTGAGGAGATTACTGGCCCGGTTTCTCCCACTAGCATTTGCCAACCCCTATTTCGCTACCAACCACTCCCCTTTTCACCGCCGCTTTTACCAACCACCCCTTCCCTTTATCCATTTAGACGCCTATGATTGTTACATTTACTTACGTTTTATTCTATTCTCTCTCATTTGATTTTTGTCAAATTCTCAGATACATGTAATGTCAATTACACATCAAATATTTCGTTTGTTTATTTCTATCGGAGACATATAAGAAAAATAATGATATATATATATATGTATTATTCGAGTTATTTTTATCTTTCTTAAGTTTTATTTAAAAAAAAGAAATGTGTAAGATATAGCCATCGAACTTGTTCAATTTTTATTACTATTAACGATGCATTCTTCTTTTATATCTTTCCTCGTAATTTCAAATCCAATCGTATTAGTCTATCGAACAAAGTTAAGAACAAAGTCAGATTGGTTGAACCCGTAGTTTCAGCTTATAAAAATTCAAGAAAGTACCTTCAGAACGGTTCATTTCACTGGAGCCGATCGTGTTCAACCCAGCCTCGAGGGCAACATACATTATTGTGTGCTGACTACCTACCTATCTTTTTCGATAATGCAATTTAATCCGATCTATGATACGTACAAGTATACTCGCTTATTTATTTACTTTACTTTGCTGTTCTTTCAATACGAATTTTTTCTTCATCTTTTATTTAATTATTTAGTTTCTAATCTTTTTTTCAGATAGCCAAACTTTTATTCATTTAAACGTACTATTAAGATAAATTAATGATTGTAAACAATCAAAAATAAATAATTTCCTATAGAATAATTTTACATAAAAGAATTTGCAATAACATTATAGTAATGATAGAAAATTTTTTATAAGATTGCATTTTTCAACAGTCGATAAAACAGTTATCTTCAACAATCGATAAAGCAGATATCTTTTTAGCAGCCGATAAAGCAAGTTTCTTTTAACAGTCGATAAAACAGGTATGTTTTAGCAGCCGGTAAAGTAGACTCGAGAATTAATGTTCTTGCTATACTAGCGCCACCATTGATTTCTACATTATCGACTAACTGCAAACGTAAATGCCATAATAAAGAAGGGTAATTCTAAGAAACGTCAAAACAAGTAAAACTTTTCGTGCCAGCTCATATTGACAAAGAACGTTCTTGAAGAAAATAGAAATAATTGTGTGTTCACTTTTTTTACGACGTTCTATTATGTGATTTAATATTAAATATGAAAAATATAGAAGGCAAAGTAGTTGTCCTGGGTTCGCAAGGTAAGTCGTTTAATGAAAATATATATAACAAAACGTTATTAATTATAAATCATTTGCAATTGTTTCAAAATACGCCATTAAATAATAATGTAATCTTATCAATATGTGCCTGTGCGTATGTGCATGTATGTATGCGTTTGTATTATCTGTACGTATAGTTATTTTATAGTACTGTACAGGTTAAGGATCAAATTTATAATTTTCAAAAACTTGATTTATTCTTATCAAAAATTTCGTCACGATCATCTCGATCTTTTTCTTTGAGGTTACTTTCAAATCCACGTGTAACAGTGCAATGGATGCTTTGAAATATACGTAAACGCTTTCAACATTAAAAGTATAACACGAAAACTAATATTTATTTTCAGGTGTTGGAAAGACAAGTATAATAGTGAGATATGTGGAGAATGCTATTCATCGTCATGTTAATCCAACAATAGGAGCTTCCTTTTTTACCTGCAGATTAAATATAGCTGATACTAAAATAAAATTACAAGTAAGATAATTTGTATATCCATATTCTTATTACAAAAATTATCGAGTTAATCAATGGAATTTTCAATGTAAAAAATAATAGCGTTATCAATTTGTTGTATACCAATAAGAATTCCATATATTTCTGGTCAATCCAATATGAAGATTATATAATATCCAAATTTTCCCATTATTATCTCTATACATTCGATCTAATAACCTCTTAACCCTTGAATATTCATTATATTTCAAAACAGTTAGAAAATATAATTAAAATGCATTAGAAATAATATCTATCTTAATCGCAACAATTGTTAGATAATAATTTTGTAAATGACTTTTCAGGTATGGGATACGGCTGGAGAAGAAAGATTCAGGTCAATGGCACCAATGTATTACCGTAATGCCAATGCTGCTATGTTGGTATTCGATTTGACCCAATACAGCAGTTTCACAGGGATTAAAAATTGGGTTATGGAATTGAAGAGAAATGTAGAAGAACAAATGATATTAGCAGTAATTGGTAACAAATCAGATCTTTTCAAAGATCGACAAGTTGACGCCGAAGAAGGTAGAACTTATGCGACTAAAATAGGTGCTACTTATCATGAAACATCAGTACTTCATAACGAAGGTATTGAAAATATATTCATGACAATAGCCAATGGACTTGTCAGATTATCTTCTGGTAGTAGTGAAATAGTTACGTCGTTACGGATCATGGATTCTAGTAATTCTATACTCACCAATTCTGGCATAGTTTTGTCGCCTTCAGAAGAAAGTGCAGAGGATACTAGCATTGCTCTTGGAACATACGAAAAAAATCATACTTGTTGTTGATCCAGCATTAATAACAGTACATAAAATAATAGAATAATACTACGTCTTCAAAATTAAAAAAAACACAGTGTAAGGAATGTCTTCCATGATATAACAATAACGTAATCTTATTGTTAATTAAATTCATAATTGTTATTTACATATTCGTTAATGACTGTGTAAGAGTTTAGGGTACTAACATGCTTCTTGGAATGTACAACAAAATTGATACTCTTGTTGTTGATCTTTATTAATATTTCTTTCTTTTTTAATTTTTCAAAAAACTGCGAACGCCTAATATTGTGTTTGCTATTTTAATAATATACTATTAATATATTTTTTTTGAATATTTTTAGAAACAATTGATTAGATTTGTACAATATTGTACATTAGTTGTAGATATTTAATCTTATATTTGCAACGAATAATTAATTTCGATTAACAGATCAACACACTTGTTATCCATATTTCAATGCATAGGCCAAGAAGAAAAAAATATCATTTACAATCGTCAATTATAATATTCGATAACAATAATGTATATAGAACGTAATGCAAATTTAACATGAATAATACCAAAAGTATGAGCCATTGAAATTGTTAGAAATGTATACATTAATATTCTTAAACTAGAGACTGAATTTTACCAATATTTCTAAACATAACGTATAATATATCATATAAAATTAATGGCCCTATATCTAGATTTCAATAATAATAAATTATTTATTAGTATATGACACAGTAACAGTATTCAAACAACGATTTAACTTATTTTCTCGATAAAAGACTAATTACATTTAATTTAAAAAGTGTTCTATAAAATTGTTTAGATATATTGTATATATATATAAATATACTTATGATGTACTATATAGTGTCTACGCACAAGGACATACTTGGAAACTTTAAAATTTATTTTTATTGTGTTCATTTTTTCTTTTCAGTTTCTTACATCAGAACTCTGCTATTTTGTACATTTAATAAGAGAAGAAAATATATATATATATCTATTTATTATAAAAATATATATCTACCATTTATACTTGGAACATAATATAATCTCCCTTCTAGTGTGTGTAAAAAAATTATATTAACTATATAGTCTTCCTCCCTATACGCGAGAATTATAAAAATTATTAATACTAAAATATCAGACACTATTACAAGATTTAACAAAGGTTTCGGTATATAAATATGCACCCTATCTTTACCCCCTACTTTCTTGTAAATTAGATTTTTGTGTCAATCTTGTGTTGTTGATGCTAAAATATATGTTTTGATATAATTGTGTGAGCTGAATTCGGCAGTACTGCAAGACCGACTCAACTCTCGGCAGATGCGAAGCAAGCTCCACAATTCCGCCATGTTCCAAAAATCTAGCTAATATTCTGGCAGTTCTATGAACTGCGTATCAGATATTAAGCTGATAAGAACAGATACTACACTTTGATCTTAGCTCGATGAGCCGAGAAGCGATGTCGAACACCATAAAATTCGATGTCATAAATTTGTTCATGTAAGAAAATGATTGGGAGAATCATGTGACACCATGCGGTCATTGAAAAAACTACTATGGTTTTCGAATGCAGCGCTACTAACGGTCGTACTAACAACAGTATTGAAAATAATTATAATTTTTATAAATAAAAAGTTAATAGGATAATTAGAAAAATAATTTCATTTTTTTGATTATCAACAAAAATATTATATTAATTATATTTATAATATAATTATTATTATATTAATGCATTCACAACACTGCACTTTCTACCCGCAGTTGTAGCCAGCATCAAAAGAAAAAAAATATTTATTTAACAATATATATATATATAAATAATAAATAAACAATTTATCATTATTTTAAGGTATACTTTGAATGTATATGTGCGTCTGTGTGTGTGCATACGTGCACCTGCGTGCATGCATACATGTGCATTAGTATTAGAGAGAAAAGGATGATCACACAATGAGTCATTCTCACTTCAAACCGAGTTTCACAGACCGTAACGTCCCAGCTTTGTCTACATGTAGTAACTCATCTCATTTTCATTATGTAAGGTCTTAGTTTACTATGCATCTAGGCCTATTAGTATTTGACTTCTTCGAAAACGAGTTAAATTAGGGAGGAAATCTGTTTAGCATTGTCCTCTCGTATGATTTTTAAGTTCAAGGAATGTTTTTAATCGATTTATCCATAAGTTAACAAAATCATTAGAATCGGATAATTGAAAATTAGAACAAAAAAAAATAAAATCATAAAAATGATAATTATTTGTAGATTCGAAAAAAAATTCATAATAATTATTAGCATATGTAGCAGTAAAGATAAATTATATAGATTTCTGTTATACTTACGCCAATGCGAATAGCTGTAGCAGTCATTAATATACAAATGGTTAAGATTTGGTATCTTCCTATACACACATACATGTTCTTCTCATTTCTCATTACTTTATTTCAGTAGATAAGAGTACCGTTCGATTCGATTTAATAGAATCGATTTGATTATAGTTCACACGTTTATTATATACACTTTTATATACTCTATATTATATAAAACAGTATAATTAAAAAAAATCAAGAAAAAGAAGCATAATCGAAGCATTCAACATAATTGTTTTTCCGCGAAGGAAAGTGTTTAAATAATTGCATGACAGCGAAGAGCATTTTACCTGGCGTGTAATAGCCAAGGTATCTCATCAATTAACATACCACACAATTTTCAAACGAGACGCGGACAATGTCTAACACTTTACGAGTACAATGGACTTTAACATTAGAGAGAGAGAGAGAAAATTTCGAAATTAACTAATCTCAAAAAGCTTTTTTCTGCAAAGTATGTTACTACGTAATCAAAGAAGTCATTTCTGTTTAGTTTCAATTTTCCCTTTTCTTTTGTTTATTATTTGCAATGGCATCAAGGTGCAACTCACTTAAAATGCCCTACCTCGACATGCCCAGGACACAAGAAAATTAGCTTTGGCAAGTTCTTGATATATAACAACGTTAAAACAAATAGTAATTAGAAGTAGAATTGTATTGCATTATTTTTTTCTATTAACATATACAATGTATATATCAAATGTTATACTTTATTGTTATAGAATATAAATTCTTTTGATTTTATTACTATTACTATTATACTATATTATAAAAATGTATGAAATTTGGTGATAATTATTTATTAAATTAAAATAATATGATATCGAAATGAAATTGAAATCATTCGAAAGTATATAAAATAGATAAATACGTTTATATGGAAGTAGAAAAATAAGAAGAAACTAATGTTCTTGAGTAATCATTCATATATATAGTTTTGTAAAGTTACTACTACAATACTATTACTATATTCTAGATGATCAAACGGATGAACGAATGAACGAACGAGTTAATGAAATTCTGAATTGCAGAATAGGATTGCACTTGCTCGTAGTTAAGTACTCGTGCCTACGTAAGAGAGAAAGAAAGGATTTAAAAGAAGAATAGTATACTTATAATTACAGAACTCTTACACACACACACACACACATAACATACATATATACAGGATGTTCCAAAAGGTTTGAATCATACTTTAAGAAACTTATCAAAAAGTTATCTCGAATAAATAAATGTTTCATTTTGAATATACATTTATTTATTTATTATTTTCTAATATAAAAAAGAAATAT